AACCTACCTTAATCATGATAATTTTTTGAATTTAGCCGATAGTGAAAAATGGTCCGGAGTTACCTGAAATGAATTTTATCTCTCTAAAATTTCACCTTCCCTCTAAGTCGGCTGCCTCACTTGGAGTGGGGGGAATTGGTAAATGAAAATTTTAGTGGATTTTGATATTTTATTAAAAAGGATATTGTGCTGCGACACTCAACCATGCATTACTCTTAATAGAGAGTATGGTGCCTTAACACCCAACCCAACACCACATTGTTCCCCTTATTTTTTCCAAAAAGATAAAGAGTTGAATGTAGTAGCATCGCGACACACCCAAGAAAAAAAATTAGATTTTCTATTCATGCACATAGACCCTTGGGACCCACTTAAAAATAGATTTAATGCATTTACATAGTCATAAAACACTCATAGACACATGTAGAGAATAATGCGAAATTCTAGCACACATAACTTACTAGATTAAGCCAATTTGAGTTGGTGTAACTGTACACTATTCCAGGGAGTATCACACATGTATTCTCTTATAAGTCTTAGGAAATGTTATGATATATGATTTGAAGCTTTTGGAGGTACTAATAAGTTTATGGGGAAGATTTGGTGGATAATACAATAAGATTAGGTCCATGTGCCTAATTGTGGCTAGTTTTGGCTTGTCTTAAAATATTTGGTTAGGGAATGTGTTTAATTGTGTCATTAGAGAATTATAAAAGTTATGGTGATTTGTTAAGTTCTAATTTAGAGTTTTTATTTAGGATCCAAGGAGTTTAAAGGCTACTAGAAGGAGGGGAATGTGTTTATTGCCCTGCTTTTAGCCAACTACATGCAATAGGCTAAAAGATTATTTTTCTTATCATAGGAGGTGGAAAATTTGTAGAAAAAGCATAAAGATGTTTGGAAAGGAGTAGAAAATGTGGGGAAAGAGATTAGTAAGAGATAAGGAGAACGCCTTAAACCTTTCACAAAAAAAAAAAAAAAAAAAAAAAAAAAAAAAAAAACCAAAAAAAAAAAGAAAACCCCTTAAACCTTTCAAAAAAAAAAAAAAAAAAAAAAAACAAAGAAATCAACCACAAAACAAACAACCAAGGGGGATTTCGACCAACAAGCATAATTACTAAAGATTTCAATCTCCAAGTTTTTTCTCAACTTTTTATTAATGAAAGAAAATATTTAAAATAATGCATTAAGTCTTAAAAAATATATTTATAAAAAGAAAAATTTTGAAGTAAAGAGGGGAGGGGAGGAGGACTACTCCAATTTTGGATCCGATTTAGGAGTAGCTACCTCCATCTTCCAAATCAAAGTGAGAGAAAATAATGTAAAAAATAAAAGAGAAGTTTCCCACACGGAGAAAACATATTTAAACTTAAAATCATGCTTATAATTTCAAACTTGTCAAATATGTCCCTTTTCAAATTTTCATGTTAGATGAATATCTCTTAGCATTTATATTGAGTTTTTTCATGGGGCCATCATAACCCTTAATCTCATCTTGACCCTTAGTATGACCTTGAATCTCACCTAGTGGTGCTAGATATTTTATATCAATTGACCACAAAATTTGGGCTAGATAAGATGGTACTTATGTTAAAGGAAACATAAGTTGAGAACCTATGAGCCCTTTAGGCTAGGTTTGGATTTGCTTGGATATATATAAATTTCACATAGTTGAATTGGGTTCTAATTATGTAGGCCAGCTAATTTGGGATAGGTGAAAGCATGATAAGAGAGCCAAGTCCATTTGGAATTAGGTTCTAGATCAATTGGCTCAAGAGCCAAGTAAATTAAAAACCTAAAAAGATTTTATTAAGGTTTAGTTTGAATTGAATGAACTTGGGCTTATTCATTGAAATAAAACTGAGTGGGTCCTAGGAAAACCTAAGAACTTAAAAGACCTACTAGACATTAAAGCCTAACTTAAGGTGAATTAGGCTAAGAAAAAGGTGAATTTGGTTATAACCAATAGGATAAATTACCATGTTTAGCTAATGGATAAGCTAAGTTTGACCTATGGTTAAGCTTGATGATTAAACCATAGGTGAGGGATCCTAGGACATAGTTAGGTCACTAAATTTATATTGGTGAAATATTAAGAAAGCCTATGACTTTGAGTTCTAAGCTAAGGAACCTTGGGTACCTATATTGGTTAAATTCTAATGATATAAGTTAGGTTAACCTAAACACTTGACCAAGGGAGAGTGTCTTTAAAATTTTCTCTAACTCAATCTAAATAATATTTAGATCTAACCAATCTTAAAGGAACTTCTTCCTACTGGATTTAATCCAACGAGGATGGAATATAAGGTCCTCTTTACCATACAAATGTTACAATTAACATAAGAAGATCCAATGGGTTGAATATGTCATTAAAATACTATTAAATCATAATTAAGTTTATAACTATATATTAGGGTTTTAAGTAAACTAATATTCTAATAAAATAAAAATCAAGCCTAGGCTAAAGTCCTATCAAATTGATTTAGACTTAGGATTTCCAATAAACATAACACTAGAGTATGCTAAGGGTCAATAGGGTAGAGCACTAACCTTACGAGATAAGAGCATGGGCTAGGTAGTCAATGCAATGGATGCAAAAATGAGGATTCATTTTATGTTAACATGATTGAATAAAATTTGACATAAATTTGGAAAATTATGTTGGATATCAATCATGAATAAAATAATTTCCTTAGCAAAGTTTGAGTTAAAATGAATTTTAACTCCCCATTAGCTGAAGCAGACCTCTACAACTCATTCAAATTCTTAATTTATCAATGAATGGTGTGTACTTTACAAGATATTTGAGCTCTTATCAAATGATATGCACCTGCTTGATCTCCTTGTATGATTTAAATAGACATCTTGGCATGTCCTCCTACTCTGGCGGTCTAATACACTATACAAGAACCTCCTCGAACACCTTTCTTGATTCAACTAGTGTTCAAAGCACTTGGTCATTATTTGATTCAAAAGGACATCAAAGCATCCTCTGCCACAACACCACTATAACTTCCAGTACTTGTAATTTTTTGAAGATACTCTAGCATGTGCAAGTTAAAGAAACCAACTAAATAGTTGGGGGATTGGTTACCACGTCAATTCCCATTGCAAACTGTTAAAAGAAAGTCTAGCTTCATGGCCATCCACCTTGTACAATTTCTTTACATTTTGCTCCTTTATGACTTGAAATTTATGCATGAATTTCTTATGTGGATATAAGCATCTTTTTAATGTGACTTGTTCTCAAGGGAAAAATTGATTTGAAGGGATTTATAATATTATAATGAGTAATATGGGTTAGTAAATGTAATATGTATCTTAATAGTCTTTATGAGTCATTTAGTTTATAGGTATTTATGAGTATAAAGTGATCATTTTTTAATGAAATGTTAAGGCTTAGTGTTTAAAAAGCTAATGAGATATCACGTGTTTCATATTTGTTATATGCTGAAACATTTGTGATGGTACAAAAAAGAATTCAAAGCTCTTAACATTTCTACAAAGATCAAGCACGTACAAATAACAGAAGAATGCAAGAGACAACATAATGTTTTCATTAAAAATTCAAAAACTAAAAAAAATAGAAGACCTAACTAAGCTAAAATGAATCTAATACCTATCATATATCATTAATTACCAATGATGCCCTTTCCCTAAAATCAAAGAAGATATTGATACAATATAACATATATTAACTATATATATAATAAATTCAATTATAAAAATAAAAAAAGAGGCATGCAATATAGATATATTCAATTATTGTAAAAAAAAAAAAAAAAAAAAACCCTAAACTCTTCTAGATATTTAAGAAACAATCCTATCCAAAGTATCTTCTAGCCCATTCTGACACTTACAAACCCTACACATAACATTATCAGATTATGTGGATATCAACCGCCTCTCATCATAAAAGATTGAACCATAAAGACTCAACGTATCACTTAAATCCACCGCAAATAATTTCACTCCATTATCACACTTAGATCCAATCAGAGCCGCTCATCTCCCCACAGTTCACGTGAAAGCTGCCATTTACCATACGCATATGGCCACGTAAGCAGAAAATCTCAACCAGCCAATTACACCGTGACATCTCAGCAGATAAGCACCCTTTTCTGTCTTCTCTGGATATCTTGACTTATATATTATCATCTTCAAAATATTCCTGCTAAGATCTATATGTTCATAAAATTATAAAATGTAAAAACTAATTAAGACGAGTATTTTGTAACAAATTATAGTAAAAAAACTAATCTTATTTTGATGTTCAAACAAAGTTGATACTGTGCTGATTCTATTGAACTTTAGATTATAATTTTGATTCATCTGAGAATATGTAATTAAAATTTGTCATGTTTTTAATTTTTTGATTAGGAAAAATACAGTACGACGATAATAATAATATTTTAATTTCATGTAACATAATAAAAAAATATTAAGATTACAAGTTAGTGCATTTGAACTCATAGCATACTGATATTGATTAGAAACAAGTTAGAGAATTCCACTCTCATCTTGCTCGAAGAAAAAAAATTATAAGCTTATTAAGGCTTCGTTTCGGATGTTTTTTTTTCACTTCATAAAACGGAGTTTTGATTTGAACTAAAATTCTATTTTAAAAAGCAATAAAAAAGCAGTCTCAAACGAAGTCTAAATGAGAAGTAAATGGCATCAATAATTTCCATGTGTTCATGTATTTTAAAACTCATTGCAATTATGATGTCTATCATTATCAAATCATAATTATAATTGAGTAATTATATGAATAATTCATAAATATTTGTAAATTTGATAAAAACACCTAAAATTAAAATTAAAATTGACATAAAAATGATAATTAATTTAACAAAAATTTATGGCTGATTTACAAAGAACAAATCCATCATCACAAAAAAATAAAAAAGAGATAGAGTGAGATAATGAGAAGGAAATTAATTACCCCAATGATGTTAAGACCCAAAACGCAGCCCACCCAGAGACAAAAAGACAAGAAAAACGTTCAGTAGGATCCAAAGGAGCAAAGAGCAAAATAGCCAGAGAGGTGGAGGAAGGTGGTCCATATAAGGCCTCATGCTCTTCTTCTGCTCTTGATGAAAGCAAGCACATCTCTCTCCCTCTCCCAGAAAGATCTCCTGCCTCACTCCCCATTCTTGAATTCATCCATCACTCTTCAACTGTTCATCCTCCGCCGCCGGCGACCGCCGGAACTTTCTCTCTTTTCAAGTTCCACTGTTTTCTGAATCCATCTTTTAAAAAGCTCTTCGCTTGATAGAACCCAACCTTGATTCCTTAGGAGGCAAATCCCTTTTCTATTTTCAGTTTCTGATTTATTGTGGAGCAGAGTAGAGTCTTTCCTCGATTTTCTAGAGGAGGAATTCCAAAGAAAGAAATCTGCTTCCTTTTCTGCTACTGCACTAAAAGAGGATTTCTTTCTTCTGCTTTTTTTTTTTGGATTTTCTCCCATTTCCCTCCTCCCTTTTACAGATTTGGACCAGTACAGAGTCGGGTTGGAGATTTGGGAGCTTCCAAAATAGAATTTTTCGCTTTATTTCTGCAGCTTCTCTTTTTTTTTTTTTTTAATTTGCTGGGGTTTAGGGTTTTAGGGAAATTCATAAAACAAATTTCCCGTTTTCCTCATCAAGCTTCGATTTTGATGCTTTCTCTGAGATCTTCCTTCGAAATTCAATAATTGTTCCTAGAATCTCACCATCTTGTGCCCCACAACCTCTTTTCCAGCTCTCAATTCCTTTCTCTTCAAGTTCATTTGCAATCAAAATTTTGAGTTACCTATGCCTTCTCCAACATTTCCAATGTCCTCTTGCCTAACTGGCACCGGCAGTCGAACCTATAAGGTCGACCTTGACATCATCGCCAATTCTCCTCGCTCCTCCCACTCCTCTGCTTCCTCCACTCTATCGGAGTCTAGCAATTCTACCCCCCTCTCCATCTCCACCAAGAGAAACAGAACTCCCCGTAAACGGCCAAACCAATGCTCCGCCGAGGCAGCCGCCATCCTCTCCTCAATCTACCCCAAACTCTTCTCTTCAACCAATCTCCAACGGTCAACTTTTCATCTCCAACAACCCCCCGACGATCCCTTCCCTGTCCTCCTCCCTTCCTTCCCCATTTCCGGCGATCCCAGCCTCCTGCTTCAAAGCCTCCCCTCTCCAGTGAAGTCGCCTGTGCAGACCAAGCTGACGAATTCGCAATACACTATCATTCACAGCCCGACAAACTTTCAGTATCAGGATGCTGGATCTCCGGACTTTGATGCTGAATCCATCCTCGACGAGGAGGTCGAGGAAGGCATAGATAGCATCATGGGAAATCTCTCCATGAGTAAAGAAATCACTGGGGATTGCCTCAATTCCAATTCAAATTCAATTATCAATCCTTGCCTTGCAAGCCTGATGGGTTTTGGCCTCAAGGGTGTTTTCGGCTTTGGCTTTGGCATTTCGTCAAATATTAGAGGGGCATTAAGGCAGTCCAATGACGGAGACTGGTGGAGGTCACCGAAGGTGGCTGTGAAGGACATCATTCCGATGGGGAAGACGGTAATGGCCGACAAAAACAAGAAGAAGAAGAAAAAGAAGGTGGTGGAAGCCATAGATAAGAAGGTCAATACCGCTGTTTCTCCGCCGGAAGATGGTATTTTGAAGGCGAAGCTCGGCTTGAAGCTTAACTACGAAGCCGTTCTGAAGGAATGGTCCGGCGGTTCTCCATTCTCCGGCGAGGCAGGTTCCCCGGATTCCGCCGCCGAACTTATCGTACGTATTGAAAATCTGTTCTAGCATCTTATTAAAATCATCGCCTGATTTTAATTTCCTTCGAGCGTGGCAGCGGATGCTGATTCCCAATGTATCGGGTAATCTTCGCCGTCCCGCATTAGTCGGACGGAGGAGATTGTCCGGCGGGCCTTTTCTTTGACGTCTCGATTAAAAGCATTTGACTGTTGAAGGAAAAATAAATAAATAAATTTTTTATATTTTTATATAAAAACTAAATAAAAAATATCTTAATATAATTTATATTAGTTTGAGATTAATACAAATTTTATGATAATATATATAATCATCATAATTTCTTAAATAAATTGCATCATAATAAATTTAATAGCTCTTGAATTTACTTTAAGATTAGTGCAATTACAGATGAGGAGGAAAATGTTCTCTCACTTTGTACAGAAACAATGATATACTCTAATTATTTGAAAATTTTATTTGTCTTTTTATTTTTCAAATTGAGGCGTAAATGATGTCACAAAAAGACTAATTTGATCTCTATTATATAGTTAAGAATCATTTTAATCATTCAAAAAAAGTTAACGGATCAATTCAGTCTCTTTTAAGAGAAATTATTCTGTGCGGTCATCAAATCGTTTGGAGGAGATTTGAGATTCAGAATGTGTCACGCCACCCGGTGCATCCAGCAAAAAATAACATAAAACGTTGTGCTTCGACTCCGGATGACGTCCTGTGATCACACAGAATAATTAATCCTCTTTTGAGGGCAGGTAAATTGTGAAAGGTATAATTTTATGTACAAAATAGAAAAAAAAAATCTTTCCTAAAAATTTGAGTAACTATTTTTATTGAAGTTAGTCAAAATAGAAAAAATGTTTATTCTTCGATCAATTATTCATTCTGAGCTTTTCTTGATAGAATAATTAAGAGTGGAATTGATAATAATTTTGTTAGCATTAATAAAGGGAAGTGTGGCAGGTCAGTTTGACGGACAATGAACTATTGCTCGAAATGAGAGATGGAGCAATGCGAGAAGCATCATAATTTTGAAGAAATTATTCTAACTTTTTATATTATATTTTTATTCTAAAAATATTTATTTATTATCTCTTCAAAAAAAAGAACAAATATAATTTCCTAAACAAATATTTGAATGCATATTGAATTAATTTCTTGATTGTACATTGACATTTTGCATTATTCTTGTACGTTTAACAGGGCCGATTTGTTAGGGGACCTTCTGTACTCCAGGAAGCAATAACAGAAGGAAGATAATAATGTAATTAGCACAGATTTTGATGCTTATTAGACCCTATAAATTATGTTTATCTCTGGTTTTGTTATTTGGAAGGCATGAAGAGTGCTAATCATTGAGAAAAGTCACACAATCAGATTGCATTGAACTTTTTTTTTTCTTTTTTTTCTTCTCATAAAATATTAATAATTTGAAGGAATTTGTGGATTTATAGTGCAAATAAAAGGTAATAAATTGAGATGTGTTCGGTTTGAATGTTTTGATCCTAGAGAGAGAGAGAGAGAGAGAGAGAGAATTATCTTTTGATTATGCTTAATTTGTTTAGGTTTAATATTCTCATTGGCTTAAAAAGAGGTTGGCAATTAACATTTTTGTTGTATAGAAAAGTGTAAAAAAAAAATGCCTCTTGGAATCCTTAGAAATCTCTTTTGAAAATATCTCTTTAGAGTTATTTTTGAGAACCCATATAAGAAAATGCCTCTTGGAATCCTTCTATGAGAGGTTCTATCAATTATATCAACAATCCTCGTCCCTTTATTAGTATACTTTTAAAGATCCAAATGTTTCTCAGTGCGCCTTCGATATAAGTCCTAGCAACACATTGTTAAAGATCATTAAAATTTAAGGCATCATGTACGCTATCAAGCACATGTATTTGATGCAAAGCATCATCATATTTATGTTGACAATATGAAGCGCATGCCTCACTAGTTCATTAATCACTCTAAAAGAATCCTAAAATGTTATTGAAGTTATGACCATATACAAGCTCTATTGTCAGAATTTGACACGACTCGATACATGACCCGGATCCGACCTGGAAAATTTTGGGTCAGGTCAACCAATTTGACATACGGATCAGATTTGGTAATCAGACACAATTATAATTCTAGGTCATGTTAGAGTTGACCCGAAAATGACCCGGAATGACTCGGAAAGCCACTCACCCCGTCGCCTGCCAGTTCACCCTGATGGCCTGACCGTCGTTGCCTGCTAGTTCACCCTAACGGCCTAACTGTCGTTGCCTGTCTTCATGTGGTTTCAGTCCCGTTAGGTCCATCTCTGCCACCTGTTGCGACGACGAAAGCTGATGCATATTTAGCTTATGCGGTTGCCTCCAACTTCTCAAACGTAGATGATGAACCAGAGGAAAGAACAAAGGGCCTTATTCGAGACTTGTCAAACCTTTGTAGGAGAGTCTATGAAGCTATGGTGAATCACAACGCCACGACCCTCATGGCTCAACCAGTCAAGCGCTCGACCTCACCGCTCACCTCATCGCCTGACATCGCACTCGCTCATTTTTTAATCAAAATGGGTTCGCGGGTCAGGTCAGGTCAACCTGGTAACCCGTGTGGGTCAGGTTCAGGTTGAAATACCTACACGTTTATAAAAATGGGTCGGCTTCGGGTTGACCTGTTTAGTCTCGTGTCAACTCGGGTTCAACCTAAACCCGATCCGTCGACCCGTTTTGACACCGCTATGCAGTAGGACACCTATAGCATTAATGAACTAACTATCCCATTGTATTGTTACATCATAAGGGATGTCCAAATTAAGCTCAGAACATAACATTCCCATATGATTGCTACATGCAATACTCATTCTTCATTAAGGCATCGCATGAGCTAAAAAAAAAAATAAGGCATTGCATGAGCTACCTACACCTACATCTCTAACACTATTAAATATCCTCATTACAATCCTATGAGCTACAACATTTGATTAGCTGCAAAAAACTCTATCATTGGAATAGCTCTAGGATTATTGGTCCTATAATCACCTACCAACTTATTCCCAACATACAATCACTATAATGATCACAACCTTATTAAAGGAATCACCTTTCCTAATTCACCCTAAGCATTCAAGGTGTTATCCAAGGTTAGTGAATTCATTTAATATTATATTTGAAGTTTACTAAATATTTTCTACCATGCTTATTGAAGAACATCCCAAGTGATGCCATTACTCTCTTCTAATGGGTTGAACCATAATAAATCTCTATTTTTTCTCCTTTATGTTTTCTCATATAATAAATTAAATGCAGTACTTTCACAGTTTATCTCATAATCTCATATGAACCCTTAAACTTGTGCTTTTATATCAAATTCTTCGAGATAACTTTCATCGTTAACTTTTTTTAGTTCCATATATGGGAAAGTTTATTGTTATTCAAAGTGAAAGTCACTGAATAAGAAAACTCTCAAAACTAGCACTACCCTAAATAAAGTTATTTCACAATAAAGCTTTTAACCCATAGTTCTTCTAATGGCAATGTTTTTATTATCTAGGACCTAGTCAATTTCCTATGGAAGATCATTGCTAGCAAATCACCTAGCTTATGCAATTCATGCAAATCTCCTTCATTCAGAAAACCTGATATCAATTTGTAAAGGGACGTGAATTCAAATCCAGGATGTCCACTCTCCATTTTTAGAAGGTCGCAAATTACTCGTATAATCATTCCTTCTCATCAAAGATCCTTTAGTAGAAAGTTATTCATTTAAAGTTCAAAGTTCCAAAATTAGAAACATATAAAAGTATGGTTTTTCTAATCATTGGACACCTTTGAGAGCAACATCTCTCTTTAAAACCACACTTATATTATTAAGAAATATTTTTTTCTACCAACAACAAAAAAGTTGCACTTAGGTGCTTCAAATCTCTCTTTGCTAGTATCATATTCCTTTGAAATTCACAGCTACTAAATTAGAGACATACAAAAGTAATGATGATCTTTTTTATTACTTGGACACATTTGCGAGTGTATTATCTTTTTACAACATCTCTAATATTTTAAGGTGCTATGTTTTTGCTACTATCATCAAAGATGTTGAATGTGGGTGGTCCAACTCTCCCTTCATTGTCATATTTCATCCTTAGAGGAGTTTTTCTATCTCTCTCTCAAAATTCTATACATCCAAATGGCATCTCAAAATCTCCTAGTAACTTTTCTATGTTGCAAGCTGAAGGCGAGTCTTTATGGTTATATTGCTTAGTTCATAAGAGTCACCCATGATGTGATTTATGAGAATAAGTATGTCACCAAGACTATCGTTCTTATAGGGATACAACCTAGAATCTATAAATATTTTATTTCAAAGAACCCTCCTGCATCTAACATGAGCAAAGCATGCTAGCCATGCTCTGATACCAAATATGATGTAATATCATCGCCGGGGACGACGATCGACGGCCTTGATTCAGAGCCTTTATTTGTGATGCTTTAGCTTTTCTTTTCATGAGTTTATTTCATGTTTCCGTTTGTACCCCTATGAGGGATGTAGTACTTATTGTAGCTCAAGGGCGTTTTCATCTTTATGCTTTTTATTTTTGTCAGCCTATATATAAGGCTTTTGCCATTGTATTTGGATTATTGAATGAATGAAAATTTCCCATGCTTTGTTCTCTTTGTGAGTGCATGAAGTTCTCTTGGTGAGTGCTTCCCCTTGAGATCTCTTAGTGAGTTCTCTTGTTATCTTTTTTTTATTTACTTTGCTTTGCATAATCTTTTTCCCACTAGAGAATTCTTCCAATTTCCTTTTCCCCTTGCTCTTGCCGCCGGCCCCTAGGGATTTCCCCACCGCCGGCCAAGCTCCACCCCGCCGCCCACCACCTCGCCGACGATCTCATCCCATACGCTTCATCCCATATTTTCCCCCAACCTCAAATTAGAGATTTGAAATTTCAAAATTTGAATTGTTTCCTAATTTGGAAATCCAAATATGGAAAGTCTTCATGAGTAAAAAAAAATTTCAAATCAATTTAATTTGGAGTTTTAAGATTTTTGCCACGTCATCAAATCAAGCATTAAACCTCCTCCCCCTCTCCATAATTCTCTCTCCCTCCTCAAGCATGCCGCCGGCCCCCCATGGTGCTCCCCCTTAATTATTTCATTAATGCTCCTAATTCTAATTTGAAATTCAAATTAGGAGTCATTAATTTTCCCTCCTATTACAACGAAAACTGAAATATTTCAGTTTACTCTCTCCCTCTCCCTATTCCCCTACCGCCGGCCTCCCCCTCTCTCTTCCCCATTAATTCCCCATTAAGGAATTAATTGCTCTCTCTTGGGAATTTAAATTTCCCCTCCAAAACTCCCCAAAACCTGAGATTTCTCTCAGTTTTTGCCTTGTTTCCTGCACCCATCCCTCCTCACCCCCACACCAACCGCCGGCCTCCTCACCCTTGCTCCTACCCTCCGCCCCCACCTCTCCTCCTTGGAGACTTATTCGCGGCGACCACCCTTCTACCCCTCCAAGGATGTATGGAGGTTCCCGAATGGAATTTCGGGTTTGAATACGACAACCGCGGACGAGTGAACATCCTCTGATCTCCCTTCTTTGACGTCGGATTCGACTTCGACGACACCGTCGAGGAGTATTTGGACCGGATCCTATCCGCTCTAGTGGAGTCCATCGACGATCATTTTTCTGTCTACATTTGGATCATCGAAGGGCGACGTTTTGCACCACCTCCACGACCCGCGCCGACCTCTTCTTCCCTACGGATCTACGGCACCCTCGCCCTAGGAGTGGTCTCATCAATCGTGTGGTTCTTCTTCTCCCAACAAGCCTAGAAGTAGGTAAATGAGAGCGGCCTCAAGGTGAGACAATCGCGACACCTTTGAGAGCAACATCTCTCTTTAAAACCACACTTATATTATTAAGAAATATTTTTTTCTACCAACAACAAAAAAGTTGCACTTAGGTGCTTCAAATCTCTCTTTGCTAGTATCATATTCCTTTGAAATTCACAGCTACTAAATTAGAGACATACAAAAGTA